TCAATGTACCTTCCATTGATCAAGGTGCTTGCCTTTATGCATACAAATGAGAACTCATAGAACTCAGAAGCATAACTAACTTAACTGGAATGGCGCAGAAAACAAAATTGTCATCCACGATAGGTTACAAACCTCAAGTCGTGCGCTAGTGATGATCAATTAGGTTTATTCTTGATTTATTCTTGAACCTTTTCAAGACCATTAAGACTCCCACTGACTCCTTGACATATAAGGTTCTCTTGTCAAGAAACATTTCTTGACAAACAAATATTCAAGAGTTAGTGTAGCTTCTTATCAAGCTTAACACTTCACACAATTGGTCTTAGTTGGTCTTTGACTTATCCAAGACATCACAACTTACCAATTTCAAATGTGCAAGAATATGAAAACTTTTCCAAACTCCACATTTGATGAGTGCCATAAACCTTCTTAAGACTTGTCACTCAAGTCACAATCTTAGACTCTAAGACTTGATATTGGAATGAAGTATGATTGACTTCTTGATTTAACCATTTCTACAATTCTCGATTCCTCTTATTAGACATGCAATTGCACTAAGACTCACTTAGAGAATCAATTTAGACATGGTTCTTAATCATTAAGACCTATCATAAAACACAATAAAAGGTACTCTCCCTTCTTCTTAGAATAGAGAAACTTTTATCTTTCTGCCTACTAGATTCTTCTTATTCGTTCTGCTATTGGTTGAAACTCTTTCAATCAACTCAAAATTATACTCAATCTTATAAGTATAACCATATTTACTAAACTTTAGTAAATTATGATGAATATCTTTATTACTCTTGTGGTGGACTTGATCGACGCACAACCTAGTGTACTCGATCTCTTAGTCCTTCACTTGACACTTTGTCAAAGAATTAGTCTAATTTTCAAATATGAAGTTTCTCATTCATCACACAATGCAGGTTGCATGATTCCAAGTTTCTGTCCAATTGAAACTTGGGTGATGAGAAACTCTCCCTATTTGGTAAATTCTCGACAATTCCACAAATAACACAATTAAGAATCAAATCCATTATTGCTAATAGAAGAAACATTTAAACATCAATTTTTTTCATACATGCCATTGCAAGGATAAATAAATAAGACAAAAACAAATTTTATTTATTGCGGAAAAACTTTGTCCTTACAATGCAATTCAACTGAAAAACTATGCTATTACATATTTCTTAGAAATCTACCGTAAGTCTAAAGTAGCAGCTCAAAAATCCGATATTTGAGTCCATGCGATCGAAATCCATTTCTTCGTGATCAGATTCAGCACGCTTCTTCCTTAAGTTTCCTTTCTTTGCTTCGATCCTGCAAAACATCAAAATGTAATCTTATCACATCATGTATTAAGAACCAAAAATAGGAACTTATAGAGTTAGTTAATGGATTTTACCTGAAGTAGAGCCATACGTCTTGACTCTCCCATCTCTTAGATCTCTCAGGTAAACAGGGCAGCTTCGTCTCCACTGCCCCTTCTCTTGGAAGTAAAAGCAAATGGACTCCTTTGGTACACAACAAGGGACAATCTCAGCCTTTTCTGGACTTCCAATGTAGCTAGTGTCCAATGAAGCATGGGAGTTTGATTGACCAATCAAGTTTGCTTGACCAGTGCGCCAAATCAACACTGATTCAGCAACAATAAGCAAATAGGTCAAATCAATGAGGGTCACGTCGTGAACCTTCGCATAGTACTCTCTTACGAACTCACTATACGAATCAGGAAGTGACTGTAGAACCCAGTCAACAGCCAACATCTCTGAGATATCGACACCCAACATCCTTAACCTATGAATGTGTGACTTCATCTCTAAGACGTGTGCGCACACATGTTTCCCCTCTTCGTGCTTACTTGCCAATAGGGATTGAGTGAACTTGAACTTTTCAAGCCTTTGAACTTGTGGGTCAGGGAGAACAATTGGAGGAGGTGGAGGAAGTGAAGCATGACTCTCATTTCCTTGATCGTATCTTGGAACGTCATCTTCATTTGGAAAGCTTGTTCCAATGGATTTGGGAAGACCATTGTAAGATTTAGACATCTACAAAACGGGAGAAAATTCAAGTTAGTTGATAAGGATCCTAGACGCAACACCCAAATGAAACATCAAGGCTAGGATCCAATACTCTACAACCTAGAAGAGGGATGTCGTAATCTAGTTGTAGAATATTTGAAGGTAGGTAATTGACGATTTACCAATTTCCACCATGAAAAACGAAAAAGAAATTTAAGTTTTAAATGAATTGAAACTCCTAGATCTTTTGAGATTCATTGAACTTTTCAATGGCATGTTTAATCTCGATTATGCCCTTCTATTTGTGACTGGGATGCTGAGGATCACAAATAAGGTGTGAATAACCATACGAATCTATGTGATGCACTCAATGATACTATCACCTAATAAATGTGCCGGTTAACCACACACGCTCCATTGATCTATGATAAACATCGAGCCACCCTTCACAACCAATGTCAACCCCAAATTAGTGTGCCGGTTAACCACGCACGCTCCACTAACGTTTGGTAAGGGTGTGAAGTGTAATTCCATGGATTAGCATACAATTTCACATTTTGCCTAAAGTAACTATGATTTGGGAATTTATAAAAGCATTTAGTTACTTTGTACTTCATTATACTTATAATGGAAGGTTTCGTCCTATCCTACCCGTTCGGCTAACGACCCTCCACTAGTCAAGAGTGCGGTGGGTAAGAGTGGATACCCATTCAATCGCCATTTTATAGGCAATTTCCTTAAACACCCCTTATAGACCAGCTTCGTGAATGAGGCCTACTAACGGTAAGACTGACTGTTTACTCATACATATATAATATTAGACTTTTAATGTCATATATACATAGTATAGGGTGTATTTTAAACTTTTAAAATACTAGGTGGTCTAATTTAATTAATTATACTTTTAATTTAATTAAATGTAAACCAAAAACTTTATGGATTTATTAACTCTCTTTTAATTATACACTTTAATTAATTAACAAAACCATAAGGCTGTAATTTGAACTTTTTCAAAATACGAGGGTTTTAGAATTTACTATTTCAAAATAACTTTTAATCAAATTTTAAATTCCAAAACTTGAGGGCAAGTTTTTGAACTTTTCAAAACATTAGGGTTTAGAATTTAAATCTTTCAAAATTAACTTTTAATCCAAAAATTTGAATTCCAAAACTTGAGGACAAGTTTTGAAACTTTTCAAAACATTATGGTTTAACTATTTAAATTTCAAAAACAAAACTATTAAGTTCAAATTTAAACTATAAAACTTAAAGGGTGTAAATTGAAACTTTTCAAACTTACTAGGTCAAATATTTATCTTATAATAATCCTATATTATCCATATTTAACCAAATCCATCAATTTTGATAAGGATAATCATTTCAAACATAAAAAATCGATTTTAGGCAATAAAAACGAGTTTTGGTAATTATCCACATCAAAATTTGACCAAAAATTCGAAAAACCCGGCAACTGAACAGCCAACTCGTCGAGTCCTCTTTGGAACTCGTCGAGTTCAAGCTACTCGTCGAGTTCTAAGAGCAACTCGGCGAGTTCATCAGACAAACAACAAGAAATTTCGATTTTCAGGTCTTTGGCAGTTCAATTATGCATCTATTCAATAGAAAAACGACCTAGGCTCTGATACCACTGATGGGTTTCGAGCAATACATCATTCCTATGGTGAATATGCAAACCCTAATAGCTTTTGGATCTAGTTTGTCTAATGAACATGCAATTGAATATCCAAAGCTATAAACCCTAGATCTAATAAACAATAACTGAAATTAGGGTTTAGATCTTACCTTTGATTGTTATATAGTAATAACAATCAATCATTGGCTTCAGAAAGCTTAGTGCCTCAAGTGTTGCACCTTTAATGGAGTCACAAACACCACTAAGCAACTTGGATGAAGAGGGAGGAGAGAGGAGGCACCAAAAACGGTTGGAAACCCTAAAGGATTAGTTCACCACGTTTTTGGGGCATAGGGGTCCTATATATACATGTAGGCTATTAGGGTTTGCAACAAGGAAACCCTAATCTGACTGCTTAAGCCCTAAGCAGCCCATGAACTCCTTTAACATATCCCTTGGACGAATTCCTTATGGGCTTCCCATAGAATTCGTCCAACCTATATATTATTAGGTGATCCATAGCCCAATTGTAATTATCTTATAATTACAACTCCAGTCCCCTAAGTTTAATTAATCTCTTTTAGTCACAAAATTAATTCTTAATTAATTCTTGACTAATATTAATTAAACAATATGATTTCTCTTTTAATATATTATTCTTATAATATATTAATAAATCATAATTAAACCTTTCTCTCCTTAATTCATCCTACATATTGCTATGGTGAAGGCAACCCAAAAGGACCATGCTCATAATCGGGTCAAGTACATACCAAAATAGTTATGGACTTAGACACTAATCCAACAAAACCATTCCTCATCATCATAAGGATATAGGCCTTTTGTATCAATCAAACGAAAAAGTAAGCATTGTGATATCATGTTGAATTGTTTTTGTAATCTGTTCAGGTAGGTGGTTGAGCTATTTGCAAATCATCTACAATAAAGATGATGAATGATCAGCCACAACAACAACCGGTACCACAGCCACAACCACAACCACAACCGAGGAAAAAAAGAAGAGCCACACGTCTAATGGATATAACAGAGCCACAAGAAGTTCAATTTAATAGTCTTGGTCAGCATTGTGGCGAAAACCAAAATAAGTTTGCCAATGACTGTGGGGTTGTTACGAGAAAGTTAATTTCTATCGAATATCCAACTTAGAAGAAAGTGCCCACAAATGAAAAGGAGAACTTATGGTTGACCATCAAGGTTTGTTATCTAATACACATTACATGTGCTTTCATTTAATTAATATATGTTACTAATAGTTATTCTTTTTAAAATAACAAAAATAGAAACGTTGGAAGATACATGATGAAAAACGCAAAGCATATGTGCTTATGACTTGCAACCACAAGTGGAGATCATACAAGAAGAGGCTTAAAAAGAATTTCTTGGTCAATGAGAATGTCAGAAATCCACTTGAAACCTACTCATATCTGGAGAAAACTACATTGCAAAAATTTAAAGAAAGGATATCATCAAAGGAATTCCAGGTTTGTAGGATATAATGTCTCTTGATAATATTAAGGAAGAATTCGTTTATATCCTTGCAAACTTCAATAATCACGTATATATCCTTATAAAACTTGAAATTACATATATACCCTTAATAAAACTATCATATATATATATCAAAATACTTAAATTAATGATAATTAATCTATTTAAAAAATTAAAAACATTGTCTTCAAATTAAATTATAAATAAATTACTAAAATACTCATTTTCATTCCTTCTCATAATCAATCTCATCATTCACCATACATTTAATTACTTTTATTCCGATCTTTAATCCATGTAAAATTCAAGTGTCTCCTGTGTATAGTTTATGTACAAATGTAAAACTTTAAGTGTTTCTTGTGTATAGTATATGTACAAATGTAAAACTTTAAGTGTTTCTTGTGTATAGTTTATCTACAAACTAATGATTTGCAACTATTGTCATAACAGGTTTCTTAATAAAGATTATAGGTATAGAAAAGTAATTAATAATAATTAGCTAATAGCATAACAAATGAAAGAAGTCAAGTTTGAATCAACAAATCACATAAATATATAATTTTATATGTTTGAAAGAAGAGTTGAGAAATTTACAATATTCAAATTATTGTCTTGTGTCAACTTAAATTCTACGAAATAGTACAGATGCACTAAGCATGGCAAATCTTAAAAATATAAGGAAATTAGTTAAAGTTCAAGGTAAACTTCTTTGAATAAACCCAGTAAAAGTTACATATCATATCATAATCTAATAATAAAAGAATTTGTAACATCAATGATATATGAACACTTAAATAGATAATGATATTTCGAATTAATTTCTTGATTCTACGAGATATGATTTAATGGAACATGAGACGAATATGATTTAAAACAAGAGGAAAATTGAATCAACTTAGCTGGAGAAAATTTGAGGTCAATGATAATTTCAGTTGCGAGAACTAGTAAAAGAGCCAAAAGTGGAGAAGGCTAATATTGTGATGTTAAGTTAATTAGTTTTTTAATAAAAACAAATCAAATTAATTATAATTTTTTTTTATTTTTTATAGATTAATTATGATTAAATTAAATATTTGGTTATATATGTGAGTGTATGAGTTTTATAAGGATATACATATAATTTAAAGTTTTACAAGGATATAGACGTAATTATGAAAGTTTGCAAACATATAATTTAAAGTTTTACAAGGATATAGATGTAATTATGAAAGTTTGCAAAGATATAGATGATATTCTGCCTAATATTAATCATTATGTTGCAGTTTATAATTGTGGTTGTTGCTTTTATCGGCAGTATATAACTGAGAAAGCAAGGATGCGTTCAATGTGTAATACGAATTCAGCCCGAGTAGACCCACTTGGTTATCGGGGCAACAAACCTAAGTGGGAACAAGAGAAGGCATCGGGTGAGCTGCCGTCACAGTTGTATGAGATAAAAAGCGAGCGTTCATTAGATTGTGTTGGGGAGAAGATCTAAAAATGAGTCTGGGTCAAAAATAATACCATCTAAGATGGAACTCATAGTAAAAAAGCTTGTAAGATTGTTCTTAATTTTGTTTTTTAAGATATTTTTTGTTTTTTATTTATTTATCTTTTTTGTTTAAGTAATTGTATTGACAATTATTTTGTTTGCATTAACAGATAGATGTCCAAAAAGAAATATCCAAAGGTGATTTGTTGCCGGGTCCCGGAGAGGATTTGTTGACTATGGCGATAGGACCGGAGCACCCTGGTCGCACTAGGGCGGTGGGGCATGATATTGGCTTAAGAAAGGGGATGCAAGGACTTGACAAAAAAAGAGGAAAGCCCTTGACAAAGAAGTTGTTAGTAACATGCAGGTGCAATTAGACCAAGCTATGACCTAATTGGTAGAGTTAAGAACAAATTTTGCGATGCAAGAGTCTAGGAACCAAGTCCCGAATAATATATGGTTCGGTGTTCAAAACAATAGTTCTGGCTCGACGTCGACATTGGATGCTTTATCATTAAGTTATGGATTTTATTAGTTGTTAAAGGTTGATGCTATAATAAATAATTACCTTTATCGTATCTAAAGCATCCAATCTCGACGTCGAGCCAGAACTATTGTTTTGAACACCGAAGCATACATTATTCGGGACTTGGTTCCTAGACTCCTGCATCGCAAACTTTGTTCTTAACTCTGCCAATTCGGTCATAACTTGGTCTAATTGCACCTGCATGTTACTAACAGCTTCTTTGTCACGGGCTTTCCTCTTTTTTATGTCAAGTCCTTGCATCCCCTTTCTTAAGCCAATATCATGCCCCACTGCCCTAGTGCGACCAGGGTGCTCCGGTCCTATCGCCATAGTCAACAAATCCTCTCCGGGACCCGGCAACAAATCACCTTTGAATATTTCTTTTTGGACATCTATCTGTTAATGCAAACAAAATAATAGTCAACACAATTACTTAGACAAAAAAGATAAATAAATAAAAAACAAAAAATATCTCAAAAAACAAAATTAAGAACAATCTTACAAGCTTTTTTACTATGGGTTCCATGTTAGGTGGTATTATTTTTGACCCTGACTCATTTTTAGATCTTCTCCCTAACACATAATCTAATGAACGCTCACTTTTTATCTCATACAACTGTGACGGCAGCTCACCCGATGCCTTCTCTTGTTCCCACTTAGATTTGTTGCCTCGATAACCATGTGGGCCTGCTCGGGCTGGATTCGTATTACACATTGAACTCATCCTTGCTTTCTCACTTATATCCTGCCGATAAAAGCAACAACCACAATTATAAAACTGCAACATAATGATTAATATTAGGGAGAATATCATCTATATCTTTGCAAACTTTCATAATTACGTCTATATCCTTGTAAAACTTTAAATTATATGTTTGCAAACTTTCATAATTACGTCAATATCCTTGTAAAACTTTAAATTATATGTATATCCTTATAAAACTCATACACTCACATATATAACTAAATACTTAATTTAATCATAATTAATCTATAAAAAAGAAAAAAACATTATAATTAATTTGATTTGTTTTTATTAAAAAACTAATTAACTTAACATCACAATATTAGCCTTCTCCACTTTTGACTCTTTTACTAGTTCTCGCAACTGAAATTATCATTGACCTCAAATTTTCTCCAGCTAAGTTGATTCAATTTTCCTCTTGTTTTAAATCGTATTCGTCTCATATTCCATTAAATCATATCTCGTAGAATCAAGAAATTAATTCGAAATATCATTATCTATTTAAGTGTTTATATATCATTGATGTTACAAATTCTTTTATTATTAGATTATGATATGATATGTAACTTTTACTGGGTTTATTCAAAGAAGTTTACCTTGAACTTTAACTAATTTCCCTATATTGTTAAGATTTGCCATGCTTAGTGCATCTGTACTATTTCGTAGAATTTAAGTTGACACAAGACAATAATTTGAATATTGTAAATTTCTCAACTCTTCTTTCAAACATATAAAATTATATATTTATGTGATTTGTTGATTCAAACTTGACTTCTTTCATTTGTTATGCTATTAGCTCATTATTATTAATTACTTTTCTATACCTATAATCTTTATTAAGAAACCTGTTATGACAATAGTTGCAAATCATTAGTTTGTAGATAAACTATACACAGGAAACACTTAAAGTTTTACATTTGTACATATACTATACACAAGAAACACTTAAAGTTTTACATTTGTACATAAACTATACACAGGAGACACTTGAATTTTACATGGATTAAAGATCGGAATAAAAGTAATTAACTGTATGGTGAATGATGAGATTGATTATGAGAAGGAATGAAAATGAGTATTTTAGTAATTTATTTATAATTTAATTTGAAGACAATGTTTTTAATTTTTTAAATAGATTAATTATCATTAATTTAAGTATTTTGATATAGATGTGATTTTATAGGTTTTATAAGGGTATATATGTAATTTCAAGTTTTATAAGGATATATACGTGATTATTGAAGTTTGCAAGGATATAAACGAATTCTTCCTTAATATTATCAAGAGACATTATATCCTACAAACCTGGAATTCCTTTGATGATATCCTTTCTTTAAATTTTTGCAATGCAGTTTTCTCCAGATATGAGTAGGTTTCAAGTGGATTTCTGACATTCTCATTGACCAAGAAATTCTTTTTAAGCCTCTTCTTGTATGATCTCCACTTGTGGTTGCAAGTCATAAGCACATATGCTTTGCGTTTTTCATCATGTATCTTCCAACGTTTCTATTTTTGTTATTTTAAAAAGAATAACTATTAGTAACATATATTAATTAAATGAAAGCACATGTAATGTGTATTAGATAACAAACCTTGATGGTCAACCATAAGTTCTCCTTTTCATTTGTGGGCACTTTCTTCTAAGTCGGATATTCGATAGAAATTAACTTTCTCGTAACAACCCCACAGTCATTGGCAAACTTATTTTGGTTTTCGCCACAATGCTGACCAAGACTATTAAATTCAACTTCTTGTGGCTCTGTTATATCCATTAGACGTGTGGATGTTCTTTTTTTCCTCGGTTGTGGTTGTGGTTGTGGCTGTGGTACCGGTTGTTGTTGTGGCTGATCATTCATCATCTTTATTGTAGATGATTTGCAAATAGCTCAACCACCTACCTGAACAGATTACAAAAACAATTCAACATGATATCACAATGCTTACTTTGTCGTTTGATTGATACAAAAGGCCTATATCCTTATGATGATGAGGAATGGTTTTGAGTTTAAAAATGAAATATCTTATCCCATCATTGCAGGGGCAGAACATGAGACATGAGCATTAGAACTACAGGGGCCAAACAGTGAAACATAGTAACCTTATGATGCCTTGCCTATGCAGTAATCTCATAAAATAAAAGTTTAGCCCCACTTGGAAGAATCTATGTACTTAATAAAGTAAAGCAAAACCAAAAAGAGAAAAAGAAACCTAACCCTCTGACCACACTGATAACAGGTACTACCCAATAAACCATGAGACTAAGGGGGAGTTTGGATGTGCTGCTAAGTGCTAGATGAATCAGATTTTAATTCTAAATTTCTAGGGCCAAAACAATCAAATTTCTTAGAGCTAATTTTGTTTCAGGTGAATGAAATATTATGTTAACAATAATTAACTTAATTATTATAATCATTGTAGCAGGTACATATAACATCCTTTAAGCAAAACAGATTACCGAATTAAAAAGGAAGTGTGTGATTAAGCAACAAATTACCATTCAAATCAGTTTAATCTAAAGCAAAAAATGATAAATTACCAATAAAAAGTAAACATAATCAATGAGGAAGATGATACAACTGATATCTATAATTGTTCATCAACAAAAAGTGATTCAAATAGCATACAGCTTACGTGACAAGAATTAACGATACTATAGGAGACGGTAGGAAACATTAAACGATCGGGAAGTGTACTTACGAGAGGAGAGATGTTGTGAAGAATTTTGTCTTGTTGTTTTGGGGAAGAGGACCAATTGAGATGTAGAGTCATGTATACGAGTAATGTTGCCCTAGCAATGAATTGGCGACCTCCTGATATGAGGTAGGGGATAGGGAACATCGAGGAAAAGATAAGGGTTTTAGGCACCAGATTATAGTCAGGACGATGAGGAGGAATCGTCTGTTAAGGCACAGCCTGATGGTGTGGTAGCTAGTCAAATTGCCGGTTGCTTGATGCAGTGAAGAAGAACGGGAGGTGTAAGGAGTGACAACGTGTTTGGGGTTTTAATTTTACCAAAATTTGTGGCGGGTTATACAATTTCCATGGTGGGATATCCAAAAACTTTATCAAAGCTTATGTCAGACTAAATCTAAAGAGTAAATGGCTGAGTATGCACGGTGTAGGAGTTGTTGTTATCTGTGATGTGCTTTGAGTATGCACGGTGTAAGAGTATCCAGCATGAATCTTTTAGAGAGAGTTTTGAGTAGCAGAGTAATCTAGGAGAGATACCTAGACGAGCATTGGAGGAGCCTACTGAGAGAGTAGTTAGATACCTGCGTAGGGTAGAGTTGCTTGAGTTCGGTGACACCTTTGAGTGTGTGTAGAGCAAGTGGAGTTGTATCCTAGAGTGGTTTTACATGCCGGTGGAGATTATTCGATGCCCGAATGCTGTTTGCTTCGTGCTTTGTGGAACTCTTGATGATGGGAGTCTGCTACTACGTGAATATGGCGATGTTCAGGAGGTAGATGGCTGGCATTATAAGGAGTTCTTCAGCAGCTGAGGGCAGAGAAGTGTGAGAACCTAGGAAGAGCCTAGAGAGTGACCTTTTTCAGATGAGTATGCTGATAGAGGAGAGTATTCGCAGGTGAGCGACCAAGTGTGACGGGATTAGTGATTGAGGAGGTTGAGCAGCTACTAGGAAATCTGGGATGATCCGTGTGGAAAGTATGGGTAGATGTGGCAGGTAGTATGGGCCCGCACTACTGAAAGCAGAGGACCCATACTCGATACAGGGAAAATTCCAGAGGTCCTAAGTAGCAGATTGAGAGGTGATCACATGGTTCGAGTACCATGATCCGTAGCAGATTGAGAGGTGATCACATAGTTCGAGTACCATGGTCCGCACCAGATTGAGAGGTGATCACATGGTTCGAGTACCATGATCCGCAGCAGATTGAGAGGTGATCACATGGTTCGAGTACCATGATCCGTAGCAGATTGAGAGGTGATCACATGGTTCGAGTACCATGATCCATAACAGATTGAGAGGTGATCACATGGTTCGAGTACCATGATCCGTATCAGATTGAGAGGTGATCACATGGTTCGAGTACCATGATTCATGGCGGATAGTGCTTCTGGTTTTACCAGTTATTCCGTTGAGATTGATTAGACTGGGATCAAGTGATAGAGTGTGGGGCCAGAGGGCCATGTTGAACGAGTTTCAATGGAGCATACCTTGAGGGGGAGATCGAGTTGGATTCTGAGAAATTTGGTGGGTTGTCAGTTGGAGTTGTAAGACTCAGGGATAAGCAGGAGTGGTGCTTTTTGGAGGATTGCGGTCTGAGCTGAGCAGTCGGCCAATAGCGGAGATGCCACTATCTGTGACCAAAGTTGTGCTATTTTTTGTGAGAAGCATAAGGGATTTTGAGATTCCGGTTTCAGAGTTTGAGGTAGACCCGGTGGGGTAGCCAGGGGTTGCGACCTTTTCACCAGAGTATTTGGGCAGTATGTTTGCTGCGAGATATTCTTATCCCATGAGAGATTCATTGGTGGGAATAAATGGATGAGATCAAGGAAGTGCCTTATTGAGGAAGGCGAACTGTTGTTAGCAGTTCCAGGTGGGAAAGAGGAGTATATCGGGGCGGTGGCCCTCGTGGTCTGCGTTGTGTATCGACATGAGAGTGTGGTCTATTGCTCTCATGATTATTCCCGAATTGGGAAGTTGGTCGAGGGGTCAAAGTTGAAGTGGGTGATAGTGCATTATTCCCCGACCGAGAGTCAAAACTAATTCGGAACAGTGGGGTACCCGACAGTGTGTCGGTCTGAGGCTTCGAGATGACTAGAGGCAGTCACGGGGGGAGAATTCCGGGATTTTGGTCAGGGAAAATATATTGGAGATCTCTTGGTTCCATCGGGAAGGTCCTTGAGTGAATATGTAGTACGTTTTGAGAGTCAAGTGTAATATGCCTGGTGCAGCAGTCTATGGAGTAGATTGTGGGTATGCCAATTAGTGATGGTTTGAACCCTAAGTGGGGGAGAACTAGGCATTCTAGTGAGGGGATCTGTGATCCGTTCAAGTACGGTTAGAGAAATGGTTATGGGGATCCACGGTAGGTGGCTGTTGGTCGGAGAATTTATTGTGGCCAGGGATTTTTTTCGGGCTGCGAATGTTGAGTTCGAGTGCGGCTGGGTCGCTGAATTTAGGGTGCAATAGCAGGGATTTACAGGTATAGGTATATATTGTGATCTATACTCCAGGAGGGGGGGGGGGGAAGTTGAATTGTCAACCAAATTTAGAGTCGGTATGAGTAGTTTCGTATGGGTGGTGATCAGTAGAGGGTAGCTTGAGGTTTTCGTCAACATATCTGAGCCATTGACGATTCCCCTGTGTTTAAGATTGGGAGATGGAGTATACCGAGGATACAAGTGGTATGAGGGGAAGATCGGTTGCGAGATTCCGAGAAGGCAATGCGGTATCTGAGTATGATGCTGTGAGTATGAGATCAGTGGTAGAGGCAAGACATCGTGAGGTTCTGCGATGGTGTACTGAGGTATCCGAGTATGATGTCCTAGATTTCGGGTTTTTTGAGTTTTGAGTTAAGAGATGGCATGTGGTGTAGCAAGTATCTATGGTTCCAGTGGGAGCCCTTCGACTAATTGATATCAAGCGAGATTATTTAAGAATGTGAATTGCAGCGAGGAAAGGAGTTTTGTCATGGCGGTTGCCGTCAGGAATAGTGATGCCTATTTTTGTATGGATGTGAGTGCATCTACCTATGTTGGGCCGCAGAACAAGAGTTAGTGAACGCATTATAGCATCAATTTGAGGATGAGATCGTGGGGTTGTAAGAGGAAGTGTTGTAATACTGCGGGGAACTGCAGCATCCATGAGTTGGTGCGAGAGGGTGTGGTGATACTACGGGGATCCGTAGTATTCACCAGTCAGCGAGAGGGTGTGGGGATACTACGGGGAGCCGTAGTATCCACCAGTAAGCGAGATGGTGTGGCGATACTGCGGGGAGCCGTAGTATTTTCCAAGCAGTGTGAGAGCATTGTGAAACTGTGGGGAGCCGTAGCTTTCACTGGTCAGTGAGAGAGCGTTGTGGAACTGCGGGGAGCCGTAGTTTCACTAGCCAGAGCATGACGTAGAGGAGTTCCTAGGCTTGGGTAGCCTTATCATTGAGCATGTGGGAACCTGGTGGTCAGGCCATGGGCGAGACTGGGGTCTCCCTAATGGTCGAAAGTTATCATATTCCGAGTTAAGGTGTGGTTATCGTAATCAGAAGGAATTGGATGTAGTGATGTACGCGAAAGTTGCAAGTCATGGGTTATGAGTTGGGTGCTTCATTGGGATGAGTAGTTCCAATTTCGTGTCGGACCAGACTCTTGAGTTTGAGTTGGCTCTAGTGGTGTATTATGAGGGCGAGATGAGATTCCGAGCTTCGAGGTGGGTATCTTGTTGAGAGGTTTTGTGTGTCATTTGATGTCTTAGACCTGTGTGGGTTAGTTCGTTTGTATGGAAAGGACCTCGAGACGCATGGAGCTAATGAGTAGTAGACGACAGAGGTCGACGGTGAGATGATTTCAGTTGGGATTGTAGTATTCGCTTGGGGTAAAGCGAACTTCGTGACTTGTGTGTCACAACGGGCCGAGAAAGTTGTTGAGAAAAGGAAGACAATGAGACATTTTGGGGTATGTTATGGGTACCCTTTGGAGGTTCAACTGTGGGGTTGAGAGTTGACCGGGTGCTCAGTTTTGAAAGGGATATCTGGGAGGGAGCGGAGGTTCATAATTGTAGAAGTCAGAGGATATTGTTGAGCAAGCATGATCTTTTTCTGGTGTCCAAGGACAGGGTGTTGAGAGTTCATTGTTCAGATGGGTTTTGAGTGCAGTTCAATGGATGGGTCCCTGGTGTGATATGACCCTTTTCATTTTGGAGTATGACCTGGATTGTTTAATATATCTGGTTTCAGTGATCGGGAGCCTATTTTTGGGGCGTTGACTTGTTTATCAGTCACGACGAAGGGATCAGAGGAGTAGGGAGTCATCGGGGTCTGTTATTCGAGGAGCAAATAACATGGTGATATCTTGAGAGGGAGGTCTAGCAGTGAGACAGGCCACTAGAGTACCCAACTTTCGGGGAGTCAGAGAGAGTATCATGGCGACAAAGGAGGTTGACCTTTTCTGGATTTGGAAGTTCCTGTTTAGATTCAGGTGTCCATGGGAAAGATATCTGAGTGGTATGAGATCTTTTCAGTGGTGCTTTTCGGGTTGTTGGGTTCGATCTATGTGATTTGAGGGGCAATTTCGAGGGCGAAATCAAATTCAAGTGGGGGAGAATTGTAACATCCGGATTTTGAGATATATTATTGTGTATCGTGATTTGGAGTTTTGTGAGGAGACTCGACGAGTTGAGGGTCCAACTCGCCGAGTCAAGTCGAGATGCTCGCGGGGCTTTAATGAATGGACTCGACGAGTCGGGAAACTGACTCGCCGAGTAGATGTTGCGCAGAGAAACCCTAATTTCCCGAGGTTGGGGCCTATATAAGGGAACTTATGCCCCATTTCCGCCTCACTAGCTACCCTACACCCCTGAGAGCCAACCCTAATCGCCATTAGATCTAGAGAGTGAGTGAGGAGCTAAAATGGTGGTTGTTGGTGCATTCTTTGAAAAAGAAGTGAAGAGTATTGAGGATTGGGACAAGAAGGGGCTTTGTATCCACAGATTTAGCAGTGGTTGCTTGAGGTAAACATGCTGATTTGCTCATCTTCTAAGGAGATCTTGATATGGGAGTTTTCTAGGGCTTTCTCCCATTGTTTAGAGTTATTGAGCCTTATTTGTATGATTTGAGGTTGAAACCTTAGATCTGGAGTGTAGGAGGTCTTGTGAGCCCAA